AGAGTTGGAGTCCCTTGATGAGAAGAGGTTGGAAGCTCAACAGAGTCTTGAATGTTATCAAGCTCGATTGTCTCGTGCCTTCAATAAAAAAGTTCGCCCGAGATCCTTTCAAGTAGGAGATCAAGTCCTTGCCGTACGAAGACCCATAATTACTTCTCATAAACCTGTAGGGAAGTTCACTTCAAAATGGGATGGGTCATATGTCGTACAAGAAGCTTACTCAAGTGGGGCTTACAAGTTGGTTGATGTAGATGGCATGAGAATTGGCCCTATCAATGGCAAGTTTTTAAAGAAGTATTATCCGTGAAGTTTCAACGCTCCTCGACGTACGAGCCTAAACTGCAAGTCATGACGCTCCCTGACGCACGAGCCTAAACTGCATGTTGCTACACTCCTGGCCCGCATGAGTCTAAACTGTGTACGGCCCCCCTTATTAAAAAAAAAAAAAAGCCCGCTAGGTTGAAAATCTCGAAAGAGGCGGCCTAGGCAAAAGTTAGGGCGTAAAAAAAAGAGTCCGCTAGGTTGAAAACTTCGAAAGAGGCGGCCTAGGCAAAAGTTAGGACATAAAAAAAAATCACCCAGTCTGAACTACGGTATGACTTGATCCTCTTTGCCGAGGTACGTAGGCAGCTTAGTGTTTCATTCTAAGTTCAGTCGCATAAGTTCAAAAGATACATATTGCCCCAATTGTTGTTCGAATGAAGTACGAAGGAATGTAAGATCAAGCTGAAATGCCATCCTCTTGTTGAACTTTGATCTCATTTGATTTAAAGGGGGAAACCCTCCATGGTAAATTGATATCTTCAATGGGCCGATTTTAGAAGGATGTCAAGTATTTGTATTGAAGTCCAGGGATTCTTATGTCTTCAGGTTCTCCAAACCTTCAAGTTTGTTGGTCTCCAAGTCCGCCCTCTGCCTTAAAAAAAAGAGGAAGAGAAGAGAGGCGTCAAAAGGAAACACAGGTATAAGGTAAAGATTGCTTGGCACAACGTTTCAAATTCGGTGAGACTTGAACCCAAGATATTTGCGAGAATATAGCTCTTAAATTTTGATTGATGGCAAGTAAGACATCTTCCGATCTTGAGGCTTCTATACCAAGATATGTATTTTTTGGGGAGACTGCGCAAATCTGGAATTGATAGCGTGGTGCAATATAAAGTTGATTTCAAAATATTATCTGGGACAATTCTGAAGTTGTTTGATTGAGAATTTTGGATATATTCTAGATCTTGAAGTCTAGTTTTCTTGAAATCAAACGGTTTGCAATTTCGATATTTCTACATTGAGATATGAATTTTTTTGGTGAGATTGCGCAAATCTGAAATTTTCAACATGGTGAAATCTGAAGTTGGTTTCAAAATATTATCCGGCGCGATTCTGAAGGTCTTTGATTCTAAGTATTGGATATATTTTAGATATTGAAGTAATCAAACGGTTCATTATTTGGACTCTCCCACGACAAGATATGAATGTTTTGTTACTAGCAGTTAAAGCTGAAAATTATGCGACTAAGATAAAAGTCGGACAATGTAAAGCAAAAGAGAAGCTGAAATATTTAAGCCCTCGAACTCTCTAAGTTGAAGTCTTCAAGTCCGTCGGTATTCAAGTTGAAGTCTCCAAGTTGAAATCTTCAACTCCGTCGGTCTTCAGTTGAAATCTTCAAATTTGCTGATCTTCAAGTTGAAATATTTAAGCCCTCCAAGTCTCAAAGTTGAAGTCTTCAAGTTCGTCGGTCTTCAAGTTTCAGTCTTCAAATTCGCCGGTCTTAAAGTTGAAATATTTAAGCCCTCCAAGTTGAAGTCTTCAAGTCCTTCGGTCTTCAAATTTCAGTCTTCAAATTCACCGATCTTAAAGTTGAATTGTTTGAGCCCTCCGAATCTTCGAGTTGAAGTCTGCAAAGTCTGCCAAATCTTCAAAGTTTTCCAAGTGTTCAAGTCGATGTCGTCTTCGAGTTGAAGATTTATAACTTTCCAATCTTAAGGTGGACATATAAGTCCCTTTGCACCTTAAGTTGGCCTCTTTGCGGGTTTGTCCTTAAAAGGAACTATAACTTTCCAATCTTAAGGTGGATATATGAGTCCCTTTGCACCTTAAGTTGGCCTCGCCGATAGTCGGATCATTTTGAGAGTAATCTCTCCGATAGTCGGATCATTTTGAGAGTAATCTCTCCGATAGTCGGGTCGTTTTGAGAGTAATCTCTCCGATAGTCGGGTCATTTTGAGAGTAATCTCTCCGATAGTCGGGCCACATTGAGAGTAATCTCTCCAATAGTCGGGTCACATTGAGAGTAATCTCTCCAATAGTCGGGCCACATTGAGAGTAATCTCTCCAATAGTCGGGCCACATTGAGAGTAATCTGTCCGATAGTCGGGCCGTTTTGAGAGTAATCTCTCCGATAGTCGGGTCATTTTAAGAGTAATCTCTTCGATAGTCGGGTCATTTTGAGAGTAATCTCTCCGATAGTCGGGTCATTTTGAGAGTAATCTCTCCGATAGTCGGGTCATTTTGAGAGTAATCTCTCCAATAGTCGGGCCACATTGAGAGTAATCTCTCCGATAGTCGGGCCGTTTTGTGAGTAATCTCTCCGATAGTCGAGCCACATTGAGAGTAATCTCTCCGATAATCGGGCAAGGATGAGTACTCATCTCCTCACACCCCAAGATTGTCTTCTTCATGCATGGATCATCACTGCAGATGACAGTAACATCGATAAACTGAAACATTAAAATGATTTTAGTAATGAGTTCATCGGTACAATCAGGTCATATCCTATGTGTTATCTTTTTTTTTTTTTGTTCCTTTTATAACTAAGAAACCAGTTCATATCCTATATGTTGAACGGTTTTAATGGAAAACGATGAATAGACAACAAATTATTCCTGCATATATAAGAATGAGTCCGTTACAACCTCAGCACATATATCCATTTATTATACATACAGTATACAAGAGGCATCTGCTAGCAGTCGCACAAAAAGTTCAGACCATGTGAAAGAAGTTTCATATGAAGGATGCATAAGCCTTGGAACATAAAAGTATAATAGAAAAAGAAACAAGAAAAATCATATATGGGATGCAATGGAATCAGGTACTTAAACATATTGATATAAGTGGGCAGTAAAAAGAAAAAGGATCTGAAGGGAGTGTCGGCAGAGTTTTAAGAAACCAAAGTCCTTGTATCTTCTCTTCTTATCCTCTCATCGTGCATATATTGATAGTATTGTTAAATTGATAGTATGTATTTTACAAGTAGATGACCGTAGATATATAACCAATTAGGATAAAAAGAACATGAAACACAGAAAGACCAAAGTATAATAAAACTTTAGTTTTTATACTATATTTTTGGCGAAACGTAAACTAAAAAATATTTATAGTTTCGGCGAAAACTAAAAAAAAAAAAAAAGGGAGCACTTGATGGGTATGCTCCCTTTATTTTTTATTGTTTGTGTTGGATTAGGACTTGTTCTCTCCGTTTTCCTTTCAATTTCGGCTTCGGCTTCGGCTTCCTATTCCCTAAAGGCATTAAAAGTAGTACGGGTCGGGTTTGGCTATGCTCCAGCGTGTCCTTCACAATTTCTAGGGTTAAGGCCTCATTTGTTTACCGTATTTATGACAATAATTGGAAAAGATATTTTTAAAAAATCTACTTTTAGTTACTGAGTTTATTCTTTTTTGAATGTCTTTATCAATTGTTAAACCTACTAGAACATGATTATTTTCTGTTTCTTTAAACAACAATCTTTTTAATTTTTCCCCCTTTTCTGTCTGACTTTTACAATTCGAGGATTTTATTATAACAATAATGTGTGACGCGTAATTGTTACATTGAAAAGTGAGTTCAAAGGTATATATAGAACCATTATTATAAGACAAAATTAAAATTATTTCTTCTTGCATATCTGCTATAAAAATCAGCTATATTTTTATCACCTTTATATTCAAATCCAAATTTAAGCTCAAAAACAAGAAATGATAGTTATATTGTAAACTAGAGAATTTATCCGCGCTTCGCAGTCATTAAAATAAAATAAAATATGGATAAATAATTGTAGTTATAATGTAAATTAACAACTAAATAATGTATATTCTTTGATCAATACAAAAAATTTCTTCATCTATGAAACTAAATTTAGATAATAACAAGATAATATATGCTTAAGGAACACCAAAATATTAACTATTGATATTGTTTATGCTATACCGAGAAAAAGTGAAGTATTAATGTTATTTAAGACATTGGACACTTGTTATTGAATAATCATATAGTATTTGTTACAATTCCGCTGGATGAAGACGAGAGGAGAATTGGAGAACTGCAAGTTCTGTTGGTGGAATTGAACTTTAAATTAAATTGATATTCCACCATGTACTTGTTGCATTTAGAAAGTAAACAATGGTCTACTTATATTGCTCAAATTGCACATGCAATCTCGTGTCCACCTCTTTTATTCATGATCTGCCATTTAGTTAATTTCCAGTTAAAATTTCAATACATCATTTTTTTTCCGGCGTGGGAAGGTTTTCCGATGATGAATTTCCCCCCCCCCCCCAAATCTGAGTGTATTTTGATTTGCTTATGAATAGATCTTTTTGAGAGTTTAATTTGTGTGTGGAAAGAAAAAATGGAAGAAAAACGGTTAGACAAAGTCGCCGGTGAATGAATATCCGCCGGAATTAGAGAAGAAACGAAAAAAAAGGTAAAAGAAAAAAGACAAAGAAAAAGGAAAAGGAAAAGGAAAAGGAAAAAAAAAAGTAAGAAAAAATGATAAAAAAGAATAAAAAATAATCTGAAAATCGTTTTTTCTTGCTTCCCACTCTCCTTTGGGAGAGTGAAATACACACACTCTGCCGCGTCAGCGTTAAGGGTGCAAATAATTTCATTTAAAATAAGTTTAGGGGGTAATAGGATTCCCGCAAAGAAAAAGTGTGTAGTTGGGAATCCGGGTATAGGTCGGGGGTACTTATGCATTTTCCCAAATAATAAAGTAAAACAAAGATATGGAAAATGAGTTTTCATAAATAATTATTGGCCAAAACTGGTAAGACCAGCAGATGAAGACAGGAAGTGAAAGATTGTTAGGTCAATGTGACTCTACTGCTACAATTTAGTAAGATAACATGTGGCCGGTTTACGTGAACCAAATAGCCTTTGTCCAGACTGTATATGTATTAAGAAATTCACTAAATATCTATAAATATTTGACTACGAACTCACTTATTATTGTAATTAACTTGACGTCGCTGTAGGAACCCATAAACTCAAAATCCTCGATCCGCTCTGATTACTTCTGGTCTTCATTGCAGTTATACATTCTCAGTCAAGCATATACACAGAAGATGTCACTCTATAAGCGCGAAAACACTTCAGAACATTTAGCAGCGGCAGCCAAGCCACTAACGATAGCCCCTTCGACATTTGGACTAACACAAAAGTCTCCGCATATTGCTAGCCTTTTCTTCGCGTCCCAAAGGCATTTCTCATCTCCTGCTATGCTTGTAGCTGGGAATGCACTGCCCCTGAGATATTCATATGCAATAGCAGTATAATTATGATATGAAATACAGTACAATATAAAAACGAAAAAAACTGTGCGCACCTTGAGAGGAGCGAGAAGAAAGGATGGTGTCTTTATAATTCTATCTTTTTTCTCTGAGGGCAGAATAGAGAATTTTATAGAACTAGTCGAAGCAGCAATTCTACATTTTCGAGGAATGCATGTCTAAGAACTTCAAACAACAGCACGACTATACAACTCCCGGCTGAGATTTATTTCATGCGTAATAAGGTTCCAAGACATAATATCAGCTCAAAGATGCATAATTGCCTCTCAACAATGATGAAAGCTATAATTATCATGTACTTCTTTTGGATAATGGTCATGTCCGGGATATCTTGAGCGTACATCTACTATTCCATCGGGTACATACATCCTCCCACTAATACAGTTTATACAAATACCGGATATCTCAGCCTGCAAGGCTTAAACAAAAGGGAAGATATCACCTAACATTGTATCTACTGGAATTCGGAACCGAGTCACCTATGGTCTTAAATCCAGCTTTATCGACCAGGCCACACCCTTGGGTGAAGAACAAAGAAATTTATAGTATCATGGCATTTGGACTAAGTAATCAGAATTCCTGAAAAAGGATTGCATGCAGTAAACGAAATCTGAAACTAAAACTGAGCAGTTGTATATGTTAGATACCAACCATCGATGAGCTTTCTTAAAAAAAGCCTGAGGTATATTGAGCTTTGTGCTTTGAAATTCTTGAAATAGTTCTTCAGCTACTTTTGTTAATGTTGCACTCGAAGGCTTCTGAAGTCCTGTCTTGGCAATAACATCCCGAGCATACTCCGCAGTTGAGTGCAACACCCAGCATTCACTTCATTGGGAGAAAGAAAAGCGCAATATGATCAAAAACAGCACTAGTATATATAGGTGGAAATATCATGCTCGAGTTTCTGTTTGTTGTCGTCAGTCACAATATTGTTCTTCTCATTAACAACATAAACAGATACCTATTATGTGAGCGCCCTGGTTTGCTGCTGTCACAGTGTGCCCAACGTAGAACTTCTGAATTCTTGATCGAGAAGCCTCTTATTGGTATCTCAAATATGATAGAAAGAAAGACATATTCCATCAGAAATTCTTGTCAACAGTGTCAGTTCAACTAGTTGAGGCTAAGTAAAAAAAATCAGTTTTATATTTCGATCGAGTGATGGCCCCTCAATTAAATGCCTGTTCTATAACCATTTTAGCATACTCAGAACAAGCAATGAAGTATAATATCAGACTTATTTTAGAGTTAGCTGAATCTAAACATAAATGAGTAAGGGGCAAGGAAAAGCGTATTGAAGGGGAGCCTTGGCGTAGCTGGTAAAGTTGCTGCCATGTGACCAGAAGGTCACAGGTTCGGGCCGTGGAAACAGCCGCTTGCAGAAATGCAGGGTAAGGCTCCGTACAATATACCCTTGTGGTCGGTCCTTCCCCGGACCCCGCGCATAGCGGGAGCTTAGTGCACCGGGCTGCCCTTTTTTTTTCTACTAAAGGAAATGAAATCCAGGGGCAGAGCATATCATACCTTAGACAAAGGCTCTTCAAACGCCAGCATGAGAGCAAAGCGCGGACTAACAGGAATTTCTGTCATCTTCAACGGTATTTCCGGAAATTTGCCCATGTCTACATGAAAGGAGCTAAGACCTTAATAAATAACCTTGCTAACATGTCTTGATTGAAAGAAGGTTACATTTCTTATACTGGAAAAGGAATTAGTCATGATCCAATAATAGTCCGCTCAAATGCAAATCTTGTTAAGTTATCAAGAAACACCAGCATTTAAAATATAAAAATAAAAAAGTGATCAATGAACGAAAAACCAGTCAGTCTGACATAAATATATGTCAAAAATATATGAGCGTAACATATACACAACAGATAGCACACTGAAGAGTTTTGCATGACAACACAACAGCAAGGAGTAAAATATGCATGAACATAAACAGACTCAGTTAAATACAATCGTCATTAAGTAAAGCCTGGTATTATTCCTTCTTTCTGGATCTCATTGACCAAATATATTTAGATAATCAATTAAATTTATCTTGAGCCGAGGGTCGATTGGAAACAGCCTCTCTACCTGCACAAGGTAAGGGTAAGGTCTGCATATACACTACCCTTGCCAAACCCCACTTGTGGGATTACACTGGGTATATTATTGTTGTTGTTGTTGGACCTGAATCATTAAAATATGGAACATCCACTAGCGTATTTTAAAAACATGAATAAATAACTGAGCAACTGGCTGGAAGTTCATGACATATCTCACAACAGCAACTACTACATATTTTATTATGTGGATCTTAAATAATGCAACTGCAATCAACTAACCCTTGAATCAAACCAATGAAATTATAAACCAACAAAAGAATGTAGGTAGAGATATGTCTTACCAATAGGCATAGGTTTTCCTGTTACATTAGTGAACTTGGGTGAAAATGTACTCTTGTCCGATGTCACGACACCCTTAAAATAACCAAGACTTTCGCCATCTAAACCCATCAATGACCATGAATCGTCATTTTCCAACCACTCCAACCTCCCAACGCCTACCCCGAACCTACTTTGAACTCCTACAGAATTCAAATAGAAAAATAGTAAATTCGGTAGGTGGTAGTTAGTGAAAGCACTTCAAAGAAGAAATCCAGCAATATCAGTGACATACCGGGCTCCTGGCATAATGATTTACAAATTGAATTCATTCCTGGAACACCGACATATTTCTTGTCCGAACTTTCCTGAATTAAAATAAGAGTAAGAGAAAGAGAAATCAGAACCAGTAAAACCTTATTATTATGTGCATGTCAACCCTGTGGCTATGTACTATTATTAAATTGCTATGGCTTTAGAGCTCAAATTTTCAGTAGAGGAAAGGAAACACATTTGCTTTTATGATTTTCAGTAGTAGCTTGAGTCAATACATATCAAATGTTCTTTCTTTATCTCAATGATCTTACATTTGATCATTTATTTGGAATTTCCCAAGATAAACTGCTGACAAATCTTGAATAATCCCTTAGTTATGACATGTTTGAAAGTTCAATCCAGTGTTAAATAAATGTATAGACCTATAGCCATCCACATGAACAGTCAAAGAGAATCAAATCTTTTTATTTTCTATCTTTTTTATCTTAAAATATTACCAATGTGAACACAACCTCACCAACCTATCAAAATCTTTTTTTTAAAATAAAAAAAGAGTAAAAGAAAGCAGACAAACCCACTAAATTAGTAACAACAATTAAACACGAGCTACAAAGAAATAGTCCTGAATGTATAGAAAATGACAATGGTCAGAGATATTCTAGTAGGAACAATAGATTTAAAAAAAAAAAAAAAAAAAGCAGCCCGGTGCACGAAACATTCTCGCGTTCACGCGGGGTCTGGGGAAGGGACGCACCCCAAAGGGTATGATGTAGGTGACATCCCGCGTTCACGCAGGGTCCGAGGAAGGGCCGCACCCCTTGTGATGTACGTAGGCAACATCCCGTGTTCACACAGGGTTGGGGGAAGGGTCGCACCTCAAGGGGTATGACGTAGGCAGCATCCCGCGTTCACGTAGGGTCCGGGGAAGGACCGCAGCCCAAGGGGCATAATGTAGGCAACATCCTGCTTTCATGCAGGATCTAGGAAAGAGCCGCACCCTCTTGGGTATGACGTAGGCAGCATCCGCATTCACGCAGGGTCCGGGGAATGGCCGCAGCCCAAGGGGTATAACGTAGGCAGCATCCCGCGTTCACGCAGGGTCCGGGGAACGGCCGCAGTCCAAGGGGCATAATGTAGGCAACATTCCGCGTTCATGCAAGATTCGGGAAAGAGCCGATCCGAAGGGTATGATGTAGGCAGTCTGCCTTAATACAAGTATCACTACATATATTCTAGCAGGAATAACACATAAAGAAGACTAATAATAATACTGGAAATTTGTGGAACCTCTTCAATATCAAGAAATTGCTTAGAAGCAAAATCAAAAGTAGCAAATTTTTCTTTCCACTCAGCAACAACTCCTCTTGATTGCCATTCACTAATAAGTCTCAGCACATCAGGATTACTAGCAGTGAAATAAGGAGCACCATGATCAAAATACAGCTCCCTCCCATCTTCTGCCTTTTCCCTAATTAAAGATCAAATTTTTACAAAAACCCCATTACATTAATTCATGATAAAAGTTAAAAAAAATTACTGGTAATTACTCCTTCGTCCTTAACCAGAGATCTCAGGTTCGAGCTCGAGGTATGGAGTCGCGTTTGTTATGGAGTCCAATCCCAATACGGGTACCGGACACCGGGAGGAAAAAAAAGAAAGAAAAGGTATTACCTTCTTTGAGACATGCGGCCACCTGGACCTCTAGCAGACTCAAAAAGGGTAACTGAAATTCCATTCTTGGCCAAAGTTGATGCACAAACAGCTCCTGAAACTGAAAAAAGAAACCCCTTTTGGTTAGTTTTGTAATCAAAATTTTCACAATTTTGGACAAGAATTGAATATCAGTAGTATTTGCTTGCTTACTTCCACTACCAATGACTGCAACTTTGGCAGCAACACTTGTCATGATTATAGCAATGGAAAAGAAATGATTGAAAAAAAATTGGCAAAATTTGATATATTGGAATTAAAGTAGAAGTGATTGAAAAAAGTAGGAGTTGTTATTTATCCACATACATCTTTAGGAAAAAGAAAGTTTTGTGCTTTAAATGCTACCCAACAAAAGTAATGTTAACTTGTTTGATATTTATGGGTCAAAATAGCACGGGCTAGCCGATTTTCGGATTGGTAATTGAAAAATAGTTAGCGTTTGTAAAGTCATTGAAAAATAGTTACTGTTTTGCTGCAACACGAAAAGTTCAAGCATAATATACTGGAGATTGGAGCACATGTTTATGAACTTCCAGCATATTATGTTGGAACTCCAACACATTATGAAATATGCTGGAAGTTCACATGTAAAAAATTCGAACTCCAGCACATTATGCTAGAATATTTTCTTGATCTTGAACAATGTTTTTGTTCAGACTTATCTTTACATGAAAGTGATTAAATTTCAATTACTTTTGAAACTGTGACTATTTTTAATTACCACTTATAAATCTGGCTATTTTTTTATTTCTCCATATTTACGGCTATGGTGGGGTTGTATTAAAATCTTGAACCAAATTCTTTTAAAGATTGTAGCTTTTCATTACTAAGTTAGGTGATAGTAGTATTAGGCTTCATTCTCTTTATAGTTTTGTGAAATCCAAAGGCTTCCCTCTTGGAAAATTCCTAGTTTCCCCTTCTTGACATGGTGTACTAATATTGGCTATATACTTCCTCTGTCCTAATTTATGTGACGGTTATCGGATTTTGAAAGCTAAAAAATTAGGAAAGGCCCTTTGTATAGAGTTCGAACCACTTCTGGCGTGACAGACCAGCACTCTATTTGATCGTAATTTTTTCATATGCCTTTTAAATATTTTAAATTATTAATTATTGCAACTTATAGTATTTTTTACATAATTTCAAGTATATAACTTTTATGTCGAAAAACTTAAAAATTCTATATTTAAATATAGGGGTGGGGATTTGGGCAGTTCGGATTAGATGTAAAAATTTCGGTTTAGATTTTCGATTTTCGGATTGAAGAAATGGCAATCCATGTAAGCTCGGATTGGATTGATTTTTGAAGTTCAATTTCGGATTAATCGGTTTTGATATTTTGGATTTTCGGTTTTGAGCTTATAATTTTTTTTTTTACAAAAATAAATATCCAAATGAAGTACTCGTGTTAAATTGCCTGAAAAGTTCCTCATTCTCACCGCAATCATCCAAATACAGTATTCTTAACGAAATTATTATCAAGAAAATAGACATTAATACGGCCGATAAGAAGTAGCAATAGTAAAACCATATCCAAATATAAATTATTCTGACAGTAACTTAGTAATTAATATTGAATATATGAGATAATATACAATGTTTGGGGTATTTAACTTATTACTATTGGCATATGGATAATTGACTAAATATAAATTACAAATATTTCGAATTTTCGAATATCCAAAAATTAGAAGTGCCAAATCCAATATCTAATCCGAAATTCAAAATTTCAAAAATTAAATCCAAAATTCAAACCAAAAATCCAAAAAACTTCGGATTTTGGGTTTGACCAAATTATGTTCACCCCTATTTAAATACACGGTCGAAATTAAGAAATTTAAATCACGAAAAATAAAAAGTATCACATATATTAGGATAGAGGGAATATAATTCGGCGAATAACTAGGTTTACCATCAAAGACAGTGCAAACATCTTTGCATATGGTTACTTCAATATAGATATGATACCACTGCACACAAGAATTATTATTTTTTATGACCGTCGTATTCAGGTTAAATTGTGTCCACCTTGATTAATTTTACGGGAGAAATTTAAAAATAGCCAGATTTACAACTGGTCGTTCAAAAATAGCCCAATTTCAAAAGTAATCGAAATTTAGCCACTTTTCATGTAAAGATAAATCTGAGCAAAAACACTGTTCAAACCCGGAAAATACGCCAGTATATTATACTGGAGTTCCAGCATAAGTATGCTTGAACTCCAGCATATTATACTGGAGTTCCAGGATATGTATGCTGGAACTCCAGCATAATATGATGGAGTTTCAGCATAAGTACACTAGAACTCCAGCATAATATACTGGAGTTCCAGCAAGTATAATTGTCCGGTATAATATACTGGAGTTTGGAGCACCGGTGCTCCAGTCTCCAGTATATTATCAGCAAAGTATACTGGTCCAGCATAATTTGCTGGAGTTCATACACAGGTGCACCTAACTCCAGTATATTATGCTGGACTGGTCTCTGTTGCAGCAAAATAATGGCTATTTTGTATTGACTTCGTAAACGTTGGCTATTTTTGAATGACCAGTCCGAAAACTGGCTATACCATGCTATTTTTACAAAATTTACGGGTACTTCTATATCCACTAACAAAAATACCAGGTGACTTTGCACAAATAAAAGAAATTACTTAATAATTTTATCGTTGCAGAAACACAATAAATCTATATCCATGTTACATTATAAGGACTAAGGGCTCGTTCGGTACGAGAGATAAAGAATAATTAATTACGAAATTAAATTTGAAATGAATCTATTTTACGTTTGGTTGAGATAAAATTGCGATAAAACTAATCCGGTGATAATTATTCCAAGATTGTAATGTTACTTTTTTCCCTATAAAAAAGTGGGATAACAATTCCGGTATAATTAATCATGCGATAACTAATATGGTATTTGCCAAATGCCAAACATGTCAAATTATCTATAGGCTAAAATCAAACTTTTATGGCACTTGACATTGCTGCAATCAATTGTAGTTTAAAAAAGTGTAAATAGTAACCTAATGTGTAAGAAAGAATTAATAAAAGTAATGAAAGGCTGCTATTATTACTACTATTAGTAGAAAAGAATATAGGATTATTTAACTCCCAATATTTTGAATCAAGTTGCCTACTTTTGAAGTTTATAAGCTCAAATTCCTAAGGTGACATAGAATTTCTTTTGTGGTAGGCATGTTTGACTTTGCTCTATATTCTTTTAGACTAAACACAACCTATAATTCTTGTTTATATACTTTTATTATGTGATTCTGGCTAATTAATATTCTACGTATCTCGCAAAATGATGTGAAATATAACACCAAGATGATAAAATTTAACTTTTTTTAATATATACTCATTTTTATATATACTCTTTGTCTCTTTGTAATAATGGTAGCATCACTTCTCCAAAAATGTATTAAACAACCATATTCAATATTAGAATAAAACGTTAAGATTCATTTTAGGGAACAAGAGATTGATGATAAGAAAAAAATCTAACTCACCCCAATTCACGACTATTCTTCAGGAACGAAAGGGCCGTTCGAATTTCTTTCGTCGAAAAATTATACTGTATATGTAATGTCAAATTACATTTCTCGAATGATACTCAATCAGAATTTTATGATAAGCTCTTTTATTTTTTTAAAAAAAATTCAGAAATTCCTTTTAACTATTTCTTAAACAATTTTTTGTTTGAGTGATTGACCTTGAGTTTGGGGTAGGTCAAGGTGTGCCCCGGGTGTTTAACGGGTGGGCCGGGCCGGGCTGGGTAGGGATTTTTTGTACCCGTACGGGTTATGGTCCGGGCCGATTACGGGTTGGGGCTTACCGGGTTTAACGGGTTCAGGTTCATCCGGATAAAAATTGAACCGTAAGGGTTACGGGTTAAGGGGGCCGGACCGGGCCGGGTTTAGTGTTTTTTTTTTTTGTACTTTGTATAACTATTGTAAGTTATATTAATACTTTGTATTAATCTAAAGAATACAAGGAAGATGGAAAAAAATTGCACTTATAAATTGCAAGTGCTACATTTATTTCAAAATTCGAACTTCCAAATTGAAAGGTTTACATTTAACAAGTAACAACAAGTAAATTAACCAAAAAAGAGTAAATTCAAAGGTTTTGCATTGCCCTAGTAAGTTCTTCATAATCAATATGAACTGAGTGACCTTCTTCTGGAGTGTTAAATTCGGACGGGTTACCATGTGTTAATATATCTCCAAGTTCCTCGTCTTCTGGGCTATCAACATCTTCACGTCCTTGATTTCTTCGTCCCGATCTAGTCCAATTTAACATACTAAAACTTCCAAAGCATTGCTTCCCAATGAGTGACGGATGTCTCCAAGTTGTTGTCTTGCTTGGCTAAATGCACTCTCTGCTGCAACAGTCGAAATTGGCACATTCAGCACGTCCCAAGCCATAGCGAAAAGAACAGGAAATTGCTTTCCATTCTCATGCCACCATCCCAACGGTGAAAATTCCTTTGTGCGAGGCTCTTTTTGCTTCTGCAAGTAGAATTGAAGTTCATCAATGTTCCTGCTACTGGTTTGAGTGTTAGAAAATGTAGAAACAATATTAAAACTATCAAGGCCTTCTTCATCATCCACAGCAGCAGAAGTGGTACAGTGCATAGTGGGATTAACATTGCCTACACTGCGAGCATCATCATCAATTACATTTGCATAATAATTATGTAATTGTTGTAAATACTCATTTAGCTTGTTCATACAATTATATAAATCTGGGTTTTCAGTTGGTCCAATCTCCATATAAGTATATAAAGCATTCATTAATTGGTGACAATCAGACATCTTAATAGGATGATTTAAAACAGCACCAATTAAGTAAATCGGAGGAATTGGAAAGAAATATTTTTTGAATTTTGCTTGCATTTTTTCCGCAACATCCCTGTGTTTTTCTTTCTTCTTAAATTCAAAGAGTAGAAAAGAAATTTCAGCTATATGTACTAAAGTCATAGTAACAGTAGGGTAATATGCTCCAGAAAACTCAACAGTAGCTGTATAAAATTTATGTAAAAATTTAACAACATCATTAATGACCTCCCAAGTAGTAGTTGTTAACATACGGTTTGGATCAGTACAATGCGCATTAGCAACTTCAGTTATTGGGAATCTATATTTGTAGCAATATTTTAAAAATATATATGTATAATTCCATCTAGTAACAATTTCGTCTGGCATGAATCTGGGTTTAAGGTTATACTGGACACACTTATTCTTAAATTCCTTTATTCTAGATTGTCTATTATTTCTTTGAATAACACCAACTGCTCTTCTAACATGAGTAAGCTCAGTTGAAAATAAATCAAGGCCACTTTTAACAATTAAATTATAAATATGACATGCACACCTAACATGAAAAATTTTATCAAGAGGTAGTTGCAAATGCAGTTTTAATATTGAAATTGCGGCATTATTGTTAGAAGCTTTATCAAAAGACATACACAATACTTTTTGCTTGAGATTATAAAATTCAACAACTTCACAAATAGTACTACTTATAAACGCAGCAATATGACTTTGATCTTCATCATATTTAAAAGCGATAATACGTTTTTGCATACAAGTAGTATCATCTATCCAATGACATGTAATTGTCAAATAATCATTTCCATTAACAGCATGGCCAATATCAGAAGTTAGAGAAACTCTACAAGGAAGGTGGCTAAACAAATAACGTATGTATGTTTAATATTGTCCATGAAGTCTAAAGATATCAGGTGTACAAGTACTTCTAGGGATACCTTTAAATAAAGGATTGTAAATCCTTTGAATATACATAATAAGATATGACGAAGAAGCAAAAGAAAAAGGTAGACAACCTAAAGCAATCATTTTTGCTAACTCCTCACGATCCTTCATTTTATCATATTTAATTAATCCTCCAGTAGTAGGGTTAATAGTTGTTTGATTTTCATCACTATCAGAGCCTCATTCTATGGGATGTGCAATTCCCATATGTCTACTAAGCGTTCCAGTCCCCCCTAAATTTCCTCCAGTCAAATGTTTAAAATCATCTTTACAAAGTTTGCATCTAACTCTATCAGTACCTTCAATTATTCCAAAAAAATTCCAAACCTTACTTCTTTTTCTACGATTAGTAGTCGGAGCCACAGGTGGTCTACTACTAGTGCCACGACCACCACCCCTTGTAGCAACTCCAACACTACCAACTCCAGCACTAGTAGGTGTAGCTGGTATCTCATCTTCCATTCCTAATTCATTATCTTCTATTCCATAATCTTCTTGTAATTGTTCATAATCTATATTATCATTAGGCGATGTTTCGGAAACATGTGTATATGGGGTACTATTACTACCAGATGCTGAAGAACTACCTCTTTTTTTATTTCTCCTACCAGTAACTTTTCTACATGCTCTTTTAGCAGCATTCAACATATTGTAAAAATTAAAGTATAAGCTAAAATTAAATATGCAATTAAAATATTAAATAAGAGAAAGAGTTGGAGGGAGTGCACCGAATTCGACAATAAATTGAGCACTTGATTATGCAATTCCGATGTTACCACGAACAAACATCAAGCAAGTATTTCAATTT